GCGATTACCAGGAAAGATTCACTGAAAACCATAATAAACGATCTCAAAAAGATAACCCATCTCCAATGTTTTTGTGGCAGTGTTCTACTTGTACTCGTTCGTTTAAATATGCGTTCTTCTACACCGACCGTTTTTGACTCTTTTTCTCACCTTAGTTGGCTCGGTTTGCCGTTGACTTGGTGCGATGTGCTTAGGTTGTGCAAGGAGGAGGTTGTCCATCCGTCCTGATTGTCGTTAGACACGGACTGGATTTAGAAAAACGGTAGTATCGTTGTCAATCCAGTTCTATCTTACACATTATATACTAGTTCGCGTGAACTTGCGGTGTCATATACATGGGTAGCACCCACCGTCATTTATCTTAATGAACAGTCGAACCCATTCACAAGTCGATGACGCAACCCACAAGTCAGATGGTCACAAGGAACCCGGGGCGTCCCGAGTTGATTGATCTCACATTCTCTTTGAAACCTTCATGACAAAACCGCAATACGAAACTCTGAGGCATTAGTGAGGCGTTATTAATTAGATTATGTCATACCGTGTTTGAGGCTTAGATCGCTTCACTTGCGTGTATCTGACCTCGTGTTTTCAGTTTTAATAGCCCCCGTTAATCTGTACACTGTTTATCCAATAAGATTTATCAACCCAGTGTGCTTCACCTGTGCCCTAAATTGTAATGATACGAGAGTTTGTTCGATTATATGATGGATCCTGAGGGCTGAAAAGCAAACAAAGATTGAGCAAAAAATTTGAAAGGAATGGACAGCTGTTTTTATATGGTTGAGTCTCGTCAGCAATATGAATTCGTCGGCCCAACCTGAGACCTCACAGATAGGAGGCAAGCATATTACCCACTCGGCCACCGGGCAACTGATTACACCATTTTCTAATTTTCCAAATACGCGATGTAGGGTGATCCATCTTGCAAGCTTATTTTGTGTTCATACCTCGTTTCTCTCAGCACCAGCCTCCAGAGTTATGACTCAGTTATAAACATTCCAAACCTGACGATATTATGAATGCATAAAGGAAATAGAACTAAAAACGGTATGACTATATGCGTGGTGGCTGAGTGGGTAATATTCTTGCTTTCTGCCTGTGAGGTCCCGAGTTTGATTCTGATTTGGGTCGGTAGATTCACAACACTAATGAGACCCAGCCAGGTCAGGACGGCTATCCAGTGCTTTCAAACTTTTCATTTGCTCGCTAGAAGATGAAACTCAGCATGTCTTTTCGTTATACTTCAGTGATTGTAGAAATTAAGCGAAATCGTTACGTCTGAAGACACATGTGTTCTTTCGGCCTTGATCCAGGCTTTCAAAGCTCAGTGTACTGTGAACGTTCTATTATGCTTGTGCATGTTATCGGAGTCTCTGGTTGTCTCGAGGAGCAGAAGTAGGATTTGGAGACGTTTATGAAACTAGTTTTTTCTCTCAAACCGCTGTCAATGCATAATATTCGTTCGATCGCTTCTCTCTTTGGTGCTGTCTTTTTGTTTGGTCACAAGTTCTTTCATTTCACTATGGTTTTGTTGTAAATGGTAGAAGAAACACATACGGAAATTTACAAGCTAATCATAAAGTGCTGGTTGTAAACGTCGTTCTAGGGAAATTTGATCATTTCAAATTAATTGAATGACATCAATACACGATAATAAATGTTAATCATGTCGTTTCGAATTATGTTTAGGATAATCCTTTTGCAGAACTCGTGACTCCGTTTGAGATTCCACTTTGTGCAGCTAAAACGATAAAGAATATTTTGTTCGTTTAAATGCAGCAAATGTATCGATTTTCGGCAGAAGAATCAGCGGAACTGAAGCGTCTAGCCGCAGAAGATCCGAAGAGCGTATGTCGCATGATGCGGTGTGGTTTGGTGTATATGCTTGCCCAACTCTAATTCATCTGACAGGTTACTGCTTCAATTTACATCGCTCACCGATTTCCTTTCCCCACTGTGGTGTTCATCGGTTTTNAACTCTGGAAAACCACAACAAATTGTCATTGAAGATACAGGTCCCTGTTTGATGGACTCTTGGACGGGTTTTGTAACACTTCGAAATCGGTGATCTCACCTGTCTAATTCCACATAACTATTTTGATTGCTTTTTAATGCCCCAAATGCTAGGGTATACCTGGTATGAGTTATCATTATCGTGCGTGAGTTTTTCAAATTCAACCATTTCATTCGGAGACCGAGATTGTTTGAATTTGGTTATTCGGGCTGACAATGTTTCGTTCATTTCGTTTCTCTTATGCTCAGTGAGGTCCAATATCCGGTGGGGATGAGAAGATTCACATATGCAATTGAGTTACAACACAATGTACGCTGAACACTTGGCCTAATCCCGCCTCCCGTTATTTGATGAAATTGTTCGTTGGGCTGTTATTTGATTCACCGATTTTTAAACTTCATTGAAGAATCTTCTCCTTTCGAAAGGACAGTGTACAGTTTCCAGTGAAACGCTCGAACTGGTTGGAAATTAACTAAAGCAGCTGAAAGAGATTTTCTAACAAAGGATACTATCTGGTATCTCAGTGACGGACCCAAAGCAATCTATTAAAATGGGATCCTTTGCAATGCTAAAACCAAACAAGTATGGGTAATGAAATGAAAACTGGGAATCTCTTGTTCCCTCACCATACCACTAGAAGTGTGAGTATGGGGTCTGGACAAAAGTAAATAGTGCTCCGGATTGAAATGTGAATCGAGCAATAATTTTGTTGGATTATACCGAACTTTGGTTAAAGAAATTGCAACATTCACGGTGAAACGTAAGTATTCTCCGTATGCTCAATGCTGATTTTCTAATGGTTGTTCACCAGGCAGATGTAGCAAGTTCTTTTATGTTCAATAAACGTAAAACGTGACTCCCGTCAACTTCAACTTCAGTCACTTTAACTAGGTTTTGTGTGCGAAAATGCAACTGACCGATAGGAATGAAATTAATTTCAGCAACGCGCGGACATATTGCACCGATTTCTTCAATACGGGTTAAGCAACAACTAAAAGGAATAAGAGGTCAAACGTGCGGTAGATTGAAATTATCGACTGTTATGTTCACACTGTCAACCAGAATTGAAAAGGATCGCAGGCAAAATTTTTCATCCCTGGTTATCATTCCCTGGCTAAAGAATTTAGACGTAAACCTGAAAAGCAATGGACCCGTTGTGGTTGTTTAGTGGGTCGACATGTGTAGCCAAAAACTTCACCTGAAGAAACATTCGTGTACTGATTTATCCCCGCGGTTTTTGGCATTGTGACATTTGTTCCGCCTTCAAGTAATATATATATATATAACCATATTTCTTCACCATTTCTAACTAATAGTGTGCCTTCCTGCACCGCACAAAGCTTTACTGCCAGATTTATTTTTTGACTCATCCATACTGTTCCTGGGTTTTATTTTTCAGTGCTGCATTGATAACACACCGGAAATGTGTCGTCTTCTGCTCCGATTTGGAGCCAACCCGAACGCTCGAGACACGGAGCGTTGGACACCGTTGCATGCCGCGGCCACTTGTCATCACACCGAACTGTGTGCCATATTAATTGCACAGTAAGTGCGGATAGTGTTTTCCTAAACTGCACTATAATGGTTTCGCCCCAATGGCTGATTCAGATTTGATGTAAGAATCTGCTTTCCATCCGCTGTATGTCGCACGGAATGAATTCCAACAAAATGTTTCCTTTCTTCGTCCGCTCTCCCTGAGATTCGGTGAGCTTTTGCCAATTTATTGCTCGAGAGTTTAAGTTCTCGTGATGGGCCTGGCGAGCTTCACACATTTGCTTCGATATGCCAAGTTCACCTCGAACAAGAGAAACTAGACAACTGCGTTTATTCTTGTTTTCTGAGATAACCTGAAAATAGTTTTTCACTTTTTAACAAATTCGGTGTACAATATAGTTTCACTATTCAAAATTGTGGTATATAAATGAGAACAAATATCACTTCGGTGCATAAGATGCAGTGTGTTACGCGCGGTTTTATGCGGGCGATGATCTAAAACCAGTCCCTGGTAGTTATTCGATTTGTTGACACCGTTTTGGCACACAAGGCGAATTGCATTCAATAATTGCTTTATTATGATGATGTCATATTGGGATTCGGACGGGAACGCATCGGTCATGAAGCAAATATTATCATGTCTAGCCTAAATTCCTATCTTGTGTTAGTCGCCGCAAAACGTTGAACGATATTTTCAATTAGCCTAAACACTGGTGTCCATTCCTAATGGTTACTGAAATTACAGGATTCTTTATATGTCTATGCGATCAGACCCGAGAACTTTTTTTCTGTGTAAACATATTTGTCTTTAAAGGGAAAAATTTGCAACATTACTGTTGGCTGATCCGGAGGAGCAAAACAGATGAAGCGGAAAAAAAGGACAGAGCCCGGAACGTATCAAACAACTAGTTTAATCATTATGATAGAGAATATCAAACGAAGTATTTTTGAAAAGATGAATATTCTTCGTTGGCTAATCCCCCCAATTTTTCACACGAAAATGGCTAGCGGATAGCTAATTTTTCAAAAGTATCTCTTTGATTTTCCTCGTGGCGGCCATAGTCAGACCGTTCCACCAACTCACCGATCACGCATCCAAATCCGACCACTTGCTGTTAATTTGATCGCTTTTACGTTAACCTGTCATCTTTTGCTTGTCCACTTTCAATCCCATGTTCATGTTACCCCCTATATATCATTATTTAATTTTCCCTAGGTTATCGGTTTTGACGAACTTATCTTTGACTTAATAAGGTCTTCATTTATTTGCTATAAATCTTTTCCCAATTCAACTTAAAAATGGTCAGAAGCAGTACAAAAACGGATTGTCATTTTTGTTACGGTTTACTGCCCAACTACCTGATTCCACTCTTTTGCTCACCACTCTTTAGCAGCAAGTGTTTTAGCTTCTTCTTATACAGAGCTGTAGATGCCAATCACAACACAAGTTTGTCTTTCTCTTTCAATCTGGTAATCTGAATCAAGGATGGTCTTTGTTTCTCTTTTACGGTGATGGCATATTTTGTGTAATCTTCTGCCCACTTTGGATTGAGGTCCTTGATCTGCTTTGCATCCCAGAAGTTAAGTTGCACACACAAAACATTGGGTCTAATCGGATTGGTTATTCCTAAAGGTTTTACTTGAGTTCACCACTTTTCTGAAGGAGGCAAAATGTCTGATGCAGAAGACTTTTCCTGAAGAATATATCGTAATTTTCTTTTCGAGTCTTCAGTTTCACTGTTACACAGTCCTCAATTTTTTAAAATGTGTTACTCAACAGGAAGTGGGCGAATTCCACGCGACCTAGGGTTACTCATTCTGGGTTGGTTCACTAGTGAGAGAATGGGGTGGAGCCAGAACACTTGGTAGACAACATGCTGATAACTGGCATTTGTTAATTGTACAAATGGATAGAACCGGAGTTTCGAACTAACATATTGTATTAGCAAAAAGCGCTGAATCCTGCGGTTCAACTGGAACTATGACCTACACTGACAGTCCACGGATTTACAGGAAAATAACCGTTGCACATGAAATAAGGCTCTTCCTCCGATTCGGGGGAAATATCTCATCATAAAGTAGTAGAAACCACTTCCGGACTTAACATTTATCATTTCCCGTACATTATCATGTTGAATAGTATTTATGTTCATTCAGTAATACATAATGTTAATTGAGCGGGGAAATACATTCGATATGGTACGGAAGTATACAAAAGTGCATACAACCGTTTTGCAGTGCTGATTTTGTAAACTTCATCCGTAGGGGGAAATGATCTGCCGTAGATTGAAATATTTTTGCTGGAGACTTGGCGTTTATTTTATTAAACCAACGAGACAAAAGTGGTCCCAGTTTCAAAGAGTGGAATGCACATTGATATGCCGCTTTACGAAAATCTATTGATTTTACGCATAATGCTGTAAATGAATACTCAGATCAGGCAGGTTATTATTAGTATTTGATTGTTCCTGGTGAAACAATCGAAAATGTGCAGGGCACCACACGACACAAATCTCAACAGTGCTCCTGTTTGATTCGGTGTAAATTGCAACAGTATGAATGAGTGATTGTACGGATGACTGCTCACACACACGCATAATTGAATACACTCTGGAGTTCGAATTGAGCTACTCTGTGAGGGGATACTTTTGTATAGAAACACCTCGAGGATGCAGATAACCCATGGCATGAGGGGCTGTCCATTTCCAATTGTTGCCTACATTACTTGTTTCGAACTGGATTCCAATCATTTACTTTAATTTGAATCCCATGGGTCCGGTTTAATTTCTAAAAACAAGCTCAACTGATGCGTGATGAGCAGACATAAAATTGTCTGCGAAAATGTAGGCGCTTTTGATTTACTCGAAACTGTGAGATTCAAAATTACAACATGCATCCAAAAATCAATCTTGCAAACCACAAAATACAATTAAACAAGTGTTTCCCGATTTTGTTGAAAAATCAGTAAGACTCTACTCATTTTATTGGGAAAAATTCTTGTTCTTCTCTCCCTTGGTAATTTTATTGTGATTAGTATATGCAGGAAGTCAACAAAGCTGGTCTCACACCGGCTGTCGTCTGAGCACCTGGGTGGATGGAGTGAGCAAATTTCTGTGCCGAAAACTGATATTCTTAACTTTCTCATGGTAACCGGAAGTGATTCCTTATAGCTAGCGGTTTGTTGAGATTTCTCTTGTTGCTTAGAAAGGTTTCAGTGTGTTTTTTATTTAACGAAACTCATTGACACCAATAATTGGTGTGAATGATCCTTTTCTGTTTGAATATTATACTTTTGATGCTTGTTGCTGTCGCCCATCTAGTGCTCGCCATGAACCATCATGGTCTTCAAACCATAAAGGCTGGTCTCTATTGATTATGCAAATGATTTTGGTTTAGTAAATCAAGGAGCGGTAAAGTAACGCTCGGCTAGACATCTTGAACATTTTATGTGATTACTTCAAAAACCGAGCACAGTTTACCTCTAACGGACCTAGACATTTGAAAAATAAATATCTCGTCGTTTTTATTTGGTTTCTCTTACACTTTTACAGACCCACTGATATAACCCTAGTGATCTTGTTGTTTTCAATGATTCCTAGCCTTTCAAAACATGTGAACTGTCTCCGTCTTAATACCTACCACAGTTTGCACAACGAACTCCTCAAAGTTGTCTTTGATTCCGATACCTGCGCGTCCCTCGCACACCCAACCATCCTAGTAGCATTATTCTTCATGCTTTTGTACTTCTTATTTGACCGTAAATTTTTAATTCCAAACCTTCCAGCCTACGTCTTTTGTAATACTTAAATTTTACAAAATATTCTTTCCTCAATCCTATACGATTTGTAAACTCTAGAGAAAATTTTACCCTCCAGGGTACAAGACACGTCTTTTGGTTAGGCCAGAATGATAAATGATGATTGGTTTTAGAAAAAAAAATATTTTAAATTTATTCGCCTTTCACTTGATTTTCATTGATTATCGAAATGTACTTGACCAGAACATCTAGAAAAGGGATCTAGCCAAGCGGCATATTTTGGCTTCTTTGAAATAGTTTTACCAATAACTTTCAATCTGACAAAATCTTGCTATATAAACGTTACCATAGTTACCATTTTTGAGCGGTATTGTGTCCAACCGTGTGAGACGGACGACAAAGAACTTTGACTAGTCTACTGCCCGTTGGCTTAGGTAAATTTTATTCTCTCTCAGTTGACCGAGTCCCTAATACAAGACATTTCAAAGCCAGCAANCAAATATGGGTAGACTTGAACACCATTTGTTATATAAGTCCAAATTGTTTCCCAGTTTGCAATATCATCCGTTAGCTTACCAACAGGAATTATTTTTATCTCAAAAATATTTCGAGAGGCGCCACATAAAGTGTTGGATAAGGCGGTCGTGCTCTGGAGCTAAGTGTACAAAACTTGCGTGGTTCAACTGTCTTTCTGATTTGACATTGTTTTCGCCTACTTGACGTTAGGCATATCTCATCTTTACTTGTAACGTGAGGACAAAAAGCGTAAGGGAAGAAGAGGGCAGATTCAAACATTCTTTTTTGTCATCTTGGATTGTTTTCTTTTCTAAGGAAAAATATGAATTAAACATAATTATTTGTCCTGATGTTTTATTGATGGTTTAAGACATGCTTTGGATGTGATAAAACGATGAATACGTTCATTTTTTCAGTTATTGCTTCCTGCTTGGCACCACATCAAGTGTACGATCCATTTTTGATATATTCTTAAGTCACGGAAGCTCGACGCTCCCTGCCACTCCCCTTCCCGCTCCTTACCGTGTACCTTCAGTTTCAGTTTAAATAACAGATGACTCTGCACTTCGATGCGGTGGTTTTGATTGCTGGCTTTTGGTTGCCCATTCGGATGAAGGTAGGAGGTGGATTAGAAAGTTAAAAATATTTCAAGATGAGAAGGAAAATTCATGAAGACTAAAATTCCAAGGACAAGAAGTAGGTGCACTTAGCGTTTCTCACCGTCGAGGGGTATTAAGAACTGCTTTTGTTTCGCATGGACCCTCATTGTGTAGTTTCT